CGGAAGAAAAAGCTCCTTGAGGATGAAGATAGGATGGCGGTACGGTTTATGCTTTTTAATTTTGTTAATCCATTTCCTGCATAGCGTTAAGGTGAACTTTGTGTGCATATTTTGGTGTATTTTGATTTGAATTTCTTTGGACATTATTTGATCTAATTGCTTTTAAAATTCCTTTATCCGTTTGTTTTCATGAATCATAATGTGAGGACGAGCTTTACACTTATTGATGATGATTCCAGTGAAGAAGGTGATGATAAAGCTTTTACCTGGGCTTAAGATACAAAACTCTCTTTATTTCATCTATTAGCTTGCACAGGATCTACTTAGGTGTGATGGACAGATTAATGACATGTTCTTCTTTTCTGAAAATACTTACATTTTTGCAGTTTAAAGCATGCAGAAAGTAATGCTGCATTCTTTTATGTTAAAATTAATTGCATTGAGTTAGAAAATTAGCTATTTTATTCTATTAGATCTCCAACTCTGAAAGCATGAATAAACGAGTAAATGTAATTCTGTTCTTATTAGATACGACACATACTTTAGAGCTGTTTTTAAAGATCTTTAACCGTTGATATGAATGCTTAATATGGCTAACAGCTGACAGAAAATGCCTGTGGATTGGATGCTGATGATGAGTATGAGTCTGTTGATGAAGGGCTAGCGGAGATCATTTGGCAAGGGAATGAGATTATCATTAAAAAGAAAAGGGTTAAGGTTCCAAAGGGAATTACTGAACGAATTCAAGACAAAGAGGTTCAAAACATCGCGCTCACTTACTTTGCTCTATTTTTTTGGGTGTGGATAAACTGCTTAATAATTCTAAAGAAGATTTACATGCTTACCACTCAATTCCTATGTAATTACATATCTAACACCCAAATTTCAATTTTTATGTATATGCCATCTAACCTATGCTTGCTCTGAGAATTTGGTAGAACCATTGCAGGATGATGACAGACCCACATCAAATCCTCTTCCTCCTCAATCTGCTGCTTTTGCATCTTATGTACAGGGTGAAACAGCACAAGAAATGATTGATAGTGTTGCACAGCAGATTCCAAATTTTGGAACTGAACAGGTATGCTTATTAGTACTTTTATCTTTCTATCACAAAATTTCTATTACGAATGTGTGCATAATTTTCTCTATTCTCATTTTGTTGTGACACTTTTTGTTTATTTATAGGATAAGGCTCATTGCCCTTTCCACTTGAAGACCGGAGCCTGCCGTTTTGGGTCTCGTTGCAGTAGAGTTCATTTTTATCCTGATAAGTCCTGCACATTACTCATAAAAAACATGTATAATGGACCAGGCCTTACTTGTGAACAAGACGAGGGGCTTGAGGTTTGTCAGCTCATGCTTATTATGGCTTTTGAGTATCCTGATAATCGATACTTTATGCCGTTCTAATCTGAAAAACACAAATTTTGTCCTAGTCCATGTATTATTTTCCTGTCTTTAAAAAAAACTCTTTATTATTTAATTGAATTTTTTTTCTTTTGCTTTGAAGTATGCATTATACATGGTGACTTATGTGCCGTTGGTTTGGCAATTCTAAATTTGATTTCTTATTTTAAACTCATAGACTAACTTGCAACTTGAGCTGAAAAAATAAATCATTTGGTTTTAGCAGGTAATCATCGATTTGTCTATATTGATGTTGTTCAATTATTCTTTTATGTTTATTTTTTCCTCTCACCATTTGTAATTTGAGTGGATAATATAAGCTGCATTTGATTATGATGGATTAATATCACACAACCATAAATTCCTGAAGCTTCCAAATTCAATACCTCAGAATTCTCTAAAATGTTGCCAAAGATTGTGCTTTTATTTGCAACCTCATTTTGCATTTCAATAGAAAGTTTTGCTGTAGTTTCTGTTAGCTCACAATTATTTTTTCTATTTTTTTCTCTGTATATGTCCATTATTAGATTCTTCTTTTTTGTTTTCCCTTCACTTGTGATTTTTTTTTATAACTATTCTTTAACTAAAGTAGCATCAGAAATACTATCAAGGTATACTGAAATGGTGGCTTAAAGTTACAACCTGGGCTGAGGATGGGGACTAGAGTTATATTGCTTCTGTATCCTATACTGTACACATTGTTGCTATTTGTTTTCTAATTCATTTATTTTTGCTTCTTGCATTTATTGTAAGTGATTCACAATGATAGTCCTAATTAAGGGCTGTTTTTTTTTTCTGCGGGGAGTATTGCAGGAAACTCCTTTTCCTTAATTTATTTCACTTGGGTTCCTTTGCAATTTTTCTTAACATCTCTTCTTTTTTGTCATCATTCCTTACTGCATAGCCACTGGCATTGTCATGTTTCGTGGTTACGGATAGCAGTAACATGAAATGAGAATTTACAGGTGAAATTATCATTTGTTTTCTAATTGTTAAAATAATATTTGAAGATCACATTTAAGGTAGAATATAATAGTTGTCAATAGTATGTGCTTGCAAGGCCTCTAATTCAATGGCTATTGCCTACCCCAACTTAACCATGTGAGTAGTACGGTTTATATTAAAGTTTGTTTTGATAATTTATGTGATAAGGTCATTAAAAATAGTTTGATTTGAAGTAATTGGCCTTTGATAACCCCCTTCAACATTATAAAAGCTGATTCCAACCTTGGAGCCATTATTTTAGAAATAAGTGCAAATGAGAATGAGGTGATTTGATGATATATATATATATGAAGTGAATTCATTGATCAAAATGAAGTAGTTACATGAATCTAATAAAAGGGAGACCTAAAAGGTCCCCATTTAACAAGAACAAAAGAGAGTGAGGTAAAACTGTGCTAATTTCAGAAATTCAGAGTGTAGATCTGCCCTTGCTAGCCAATTAGCAAGTCTATTGCCTCTCTATGGATAAACTGGAATCTTGTGTGAAGTTGTGTGGACATCTGTTTAATTCTTCTAACCCATATCAATAAGTGCCTAGGGCAGGGCAACAACTTTGTGAGAATGTTGACTAGTAATTGGGAGTCTGTTTCAACGATCATCTGCTGGAAATTACACCTGACTGCACTGTAGATAGCACAGTAGACAACAAGAGTTTCAGCCTCCAAAGCATCCATGGAAGCAATAGGAGATTGGAAAAATTATCTAAAGCATCTATTGCCTACCCCAACCTAACCATGTGAGTAGTACGGTTTATATTAAAGTTTGCTTTGATAATTTATGTGATAAGGTAATTAAAAATAGTTTGATTTGAAGTAATTGGCCTTTGATAACCCTTCAACATTATAAAAGCTGATTCCAACCTTGGAGCCATTTTTTTAGAAATAAGTGCAAATGAGAATGAGGTGATTTGATGATTTAAATTGGTTGATATATATATATATATATTAGAGAAAACTCCACATTGAAGGATACCCGAGGTATCCACAAGAATGAAGTGAATTCATTGATCAAAAGGAAGTAGTTACATGAATCTAATAAAAGGGAGACCTAAAAGGTCCCCATTTAACAAGAACAAAAGCGAGTGAGATAAAACTGTACTAATTTCAGAAAATTCAGAGTGTAGACCTGCGCTTGCTAGCTAATTAGCATGTCTATTGCCCTCTCTATGTATAAATTGGAATCTTGTGTGAAGTTGTGTGGACATCTGTTTAATTCTTCTAACCCATATCAATAAGTGCCAAGGGTAGGGCAACAACTGTGTGAGAATGTTGACTAGTAATTGGGAGTTTGTTTCAACGATCATCTGCTGGAATTTACACCTGACTGCAATGTAGATAGCCCAGTAGACAACAATGGTTTCAGCCTCCAAAGCATCCATTTGCCCTGCCAATCCCTGAAAGCTCCACCAATCCCAGCATCAGAGTTGTAGAAGCTACCGTCAATGTTCACCTTTATCCAGTCCTTACCAGGTTTTAGCCAATAGACAAGCTTGCTGTTAAGGGTGATTTGCAGGTTTCTCTCCTCAGGGAAGTAGAAAGCTGGAAAATTCTTTAGTTGGATAATCTTCTTAATGTGGAGTCGACAGTTGGTGGCAACCACCTTGAAATCCTGCTGTTTTCCTTCATGTTTGTGTTGGTTCCTTGCCATCCTTACAAACCAAGCCACTACACAAGGAATGATAGAGAGTTTGACCTGCTGCTAGTCAGCCGAGCAAGTGTGAAAATTCTACCATGAAAGAGTTAACTTTTAGATGTGGCTTTGGTTTAATACAAAATTCCAAATTTGTTGGACAAAGGAACAACTAAAAAATAAGTGCTGAATAGATTCTTCCTCCTGTCTACATAGTACACAACATGATGGACCCCTTAATCCTTTCAGTTTCAATATTTCATCAGTGGGAAGAAGCCTGGAAAACAATCTCCAACAAAAGAAAGACATTGAGGGGGATATGAATTTCCCCCATATATGTATTCCCAAAGAGATTTTCTGGCCCTGATCACAATGAGTGTAATTGAAGTCAGCTACTGATTGAGTATGGTGTTTTTTGATAACCAGTTTATCCTTCTTAGAGGTGTCTACAAGGATTTTCACAGTGTTATTGATTTGTTGGGGGTCCGGAATATTGTGTAAGGTTTGGAGATTCCATTGCCACCTAGTCCAACAATCAGAAATTTTGAGATTAAGATTGGTGGGAGGAGGGAGAGAAGTAGCCAGCTTCCCCTCAACCATCCAATTATCTAACCAAAAAATTGATATCACCTGCCCCCAAATCCCAGATGAATAAATCTTCTGCTTGTTTTTTTACTTTAACCATGCAGGACTAGATTATGTAGTTTCCTTACCTAGCAGATACCAAAGAGGGGTGGAGGTCTCTACAATATTTTCCCCAAAGAAATTTTGCCTAGAGGGAGGATTGGGATCTGAAATGAATCCATAATTTGTAGACGTTTATATGTTTCAAGTGGATGAAGCTTTTGAAACCAAGCCCCCCATTCTGAAAAGGTTTACAAATCTTGTTCCAATTAGTCCAGTGCACTTGCTTTCTTTGACCTGACCAAAGAAACCCGTTGAAAGTTTTTTCCAGCAGGTTTTGAGTACTTCTCTCCAGAGTGACCATATGCAAAATATAAGAGGGGAATGCATATAACACATGCTTGAGTAGAATGATCCTTCCACCATTAGAATGAAAAGAGTTAGTCCAACAACTGATGGTTATGAATTTTAGTGACTACCTCATGTCTAGTTCGACCCTTGATTAAATTCACACCTAATTACTTCAGAGGAGTCGAGCTGGAACTGAACTTTGTGTAGGTAGATATCCATTGTTTGACAGGTGCATTACCCATTTACTGAATATAATGAGGCATTTCTGTGTGTTGAACTGCAAACCAAAACAGTCCTTAAACTCCTAAAGGCATTTGGATACCAGTTTGACTGCAGCTTTGGTGGCTTCAGAGAATAAAATGATGTCACCAGCATAGGAGAGGTGGTTGATAGCAATATTTGATTTGTGATTGAACTGGGTGTGAGGGGAAGTCTGAGAAAGCTGATTAAGCTTTTTTGATAAATAATCAAACACCAAAATGAATATAGTTGGGGATAGAGGATCACCTTGTTTGATACCTCTTGAGGAATGAAAGTAACCATAGCTGTGCCATTAATTAACAAGTGAGAATTATGGTTGAGCCATCTCATAATTAAAGCAGCGAAATCAGTAGAGAAACCTCTAGCCCTCAGAAGCTCTTCTATGAAACCCCAATGAATGGTGTCATAGGCCTTTTTGATGTCAAGTTTGAAAATGACATTCCCCTTTTGCAACTTCTGTCTAGATCAAGTAACATCTCTTGACCCAACAACACATTATCCACAATGCTTTTTCCTCTACTGAAGCTTAAACCAGATGGGAACTATAGGTGGTTATTGATTAAAATCAAAATCAGGTGTTTACTTTAATAATTTCGTGGTCACTCCATCTTGATGCAGAATCTGTTGGGCAAATAACCTTGCATAATCCTCTTCTCTTGCCAAATGAATCATTATATGTCTATCATCCACTAGGTTGGACCTTCCAAGCACCCAAGAGTTTCAAATCTTCAAAATATTTTTTGATGGACTCCATCTTAGGGTGGCTAATCTGAAATTTCCCAATCAAAGTGAATTTGCAAGCATCAGAGAGGGTTTGAATTTCAGTTTCAGAGAAGAAGACAGCTAGCTTCCCTTCTTTTTTTCCCCAAATGTTTAACAAAAGGACAGTCTCCTCTACCTTCAGGAGCTTCATGGTAATATTACGGGAAGACCAAGTTGTCGAAGTTCTTAAGGGTATCAAAACCTTTACCCACCACATCAGCGAAAGTAGCTTTAGACCATTGTATGTTAGTTTCCAGATCAATAGGGGTAGCAGTGGCTATCAGAAACTACAATCTAGAGGTTTTCACCCCAACCGAAGAACAAAAGTCACAAACGACAATGGAACAGTAACCTCAGTTTGAAAAAACAAACGCCCAGGAAAGAGAGAATGAACACCCAACAACAATGCTGGAATCCAAAGAGCAACAACCAAAAGACAAGGAGACAAGGAGGGAGAGGAAACACCAAAAGCAATCTTCAAGGAGAACCAGTTCACGACCATTCAGGGAGGAACCCTAACAGAGCAATCACACCAGCTGCCATTGATATATAATATGGGTGAAATGATACATAACTTTCCTTTTTTTGCATGTTTTAAATTTCTCGAGTCTCTCTATATCCTTTTGTTGGGGTAGTACTATACTTGATATCGTATGGGTAGGATGTCTCTCTTGAGCCTCTCATACAACCTTTATAATATATATGATAATTTAAATTGTATTTTTTTTGAAAAGCCCAAGGGCCGATTTTATTAAAATAGAAATGATAAATAAAGGTTGTATGAGAGGGCTCAATTGAGACATCCTACCCATACGATATCAAGTACAGTACTACCCAACAAAAGGATACAGAGAGACTCGAGAAATTTAAAACATGCAAAAAAAAGAAAAACAAATAAGTAGCTAGGGACGAGTCAATTTAGTCCGGTGGAAAGACACATGTAATTGTTACTATTTCTCATTATTTTAATATATATATATATATATATATATCTATCTGTGCGTGTGCGTGTGTGTGCCATTACAACCAAGTGACAACAATATGATATGATAATTTAAATTGGTTGATATATCTATTTTTTTTATCTATAACTTTTGCTGCCAGAATAAATCATCATCATGCTACTTGGGTTAACTTTATGTATCTACATTTGTCTTTTGTTCTTGTTGAGTTTTGCAAAAAAGTATTTATTTTCTGTATTCTTTTTGTTTTTTATTTTTAAACATTAATTATTTTTTTTTTTCTGTCTTGTATCTTCTACTTTTAGCTGTACATGACCACTTCACTCTTTTTACTATTACCTCATTTTTAATGTGTGCTACTCCCACCATCATTTTAACAAAATCATTTATCCATTGATTTTTCATAGTTTTTCTATAAATCTATTCATCTCGATGCTTTTTAATTCTATCATGCACAACTTTTCTATCAATTGCATCTTTACGGCTCAACACTTATTTTAAGGCATCGGTGGCCTTATGATGGTTTTATAAAATTTATTTTTTAATTTACTATGATTTTTTTTAATATATAGTACTCTTGAGGGATTTTGAGACTCTATACACCTAGCTTTAATTTTAAAATTTATATTTATCCTTATATAATAGGTCCAACTTCTAATACTATTGGTTGATATATACGATATGTCAACTCCTTGCTCACGAAAACTGCAAATATTATATAATGTTTTTGTTCTACTACTAGTAAATTCCATTTATCTTTTTAGCATATTTTCTATTATTCTAACTTTTGAATTTTCTGTTTCTCTTAAAATCTGCTTGTCCCATTAAAATAAAATTGAAAACATTTAATGGTGCTACACATGTGCGCCATGACTTCATGAGTAAGGGTGTCGAGAATAAAAAGCAGATTGAGACGAGATTTGCATGTAGAAAAAGGCAATAGACATGTATCTGGAAAAAAATAAATTAATTTTGAGAGATTATGATGTGCTTTAGGTTGATTGAAAGAACATTTATGGAATTTGTTCAAATTAATTTTAAATATTTATAATTAAAACTTGTTACTGACTTTAACGGTGAAAATTTGTGTTGCCGGATTGCTGAAATTGATATGATTATCTGGGTTCAGACTGCATAGGAAACATTTTCATTTATGCGCAACTAGCTCGTAATTGCATGGCACATTTTATATCTTTTATTGTCTTGGGAAGTTTTTTCTTTTACTCGTGTGCTTCCGCAAATTTTAATGCTTCTTCTCTGTTTCAGTATACAGATGAAGAGGTTGAGCGTTCTTATGAAGAATTTTATGAGGATGTGCATACAGAATTTTTGAAGTTCGGTGAAATTATTAATTTTAAGGTTGTTTTTTTCTTTTTCGAAGTTCTTTTCTATATGTAATTCTTGAAGAGCCTATTTTCTTAGCTTTTTATATACGAGAATCATAAGAGTTTATAACGAGAATGTGCTGTAAGATTTATTTTATGATGAGAATAATAGGATTGTCTTTGAACTGATTGGGATGTCAATGTTGCTTTATTGATGGTAGAGATAAAGAAATATGCTTGGTATACATTCGTTGAACATAATCTGCTATTTTTGTGATGATTTTTTTATTAATTTATAGCTGTAAAGGGAATGCTTTCGAGGATCTTGATCCTGGAGCCTATATATTTTGTTCCTGCATGTCTAAACCTTTTTATCAATGGTGCATTAGTTCATTTTAGGGTTTCAATTTTCAAATTGTCTAATTGTTTGTCTTTTATCTTTGGATTTTGTTATTATTTGATTGCTTACTTCCTATAATTTTATCTCCCTGAGAGTCATATAATTTTCAATTTTTTCGTTTGCTAACAACTTGTATTGAGCTTAATGGTCTTCTCTTTTTTCTTTTTGGCTTCTCAACCATTTCTTCTCATGGTTGCATTGAATTCTAAATTCATGGGCCAGTGTTTTAGATGCTATCTCATGTGCAGTCATATATACTTTCTTATATCTTAAACTGATATTGAAAGGCTTAGAGCTTGTTTGAGGTAACTTATGTTTTTTTTCTTTTGTTTTAAAAACATGTTTGTTTACTTCATTTTTTTTGCATGTTTCTATTTTTATTTTAAAAAATAAATTAACGAATTTTTAAAAACACTTAAAACATCTAAAGTTTTGAGTTTTTTTAAAACAACCGAACATATAACGTACCAAACATTATTTATTCCAAGTAAAAACAAAAACAAAACAAAGTAAAAAATAAAAAGATAAATAAAACTATAAGTGATCCCAAACAACCTCTAACCTTTGGTAGTTTCACACTGTTGAAAGTTAAAACTTTTTTAATGCGCTTTATACAAAAGGGAGGCCACCTTCTCCTTATCGATGCAGTAGGATATGGGTTCCAGTGCCACTTACTATTTTTCTATTTTATTATGGCTTATTATGAATTTTAACTATTCATCGTCTTCTAGCAACTTTTTTTTTTCAGTAGATTTTCTTATCTTGATCATTATTATGTTAATATCCCTGTGAAGTTTTTGTTATTATGAATCTTTCACCTAGATATTTATTTTTCATTTTATTAGAAGTAATATAGGACATGATGCCTCTTTTGTATTTTTTTAGATTTTGTTTATTTTTAGTATTTTTCTTTTAATGTTTTTCCAAAGATTTATATTTTAGTTTAGTGCTTAAGCAATTTGCTTTTTAATTTGATCATACTTGTAATATGACAACTTCTTTTCTCTTTAAATTTGTAGTGAAATTTTGATGTTGATATACTTTAATTTGAATTACATTGGAATTTTTCGTCTCACTGTCTATCCTAGCTCTCAATTTTTCATATTCTCTCTTATAATTCTTAACATAATCCTAATTCTAATCTAAAGCCTGCATTATTTAAAGCTTTCTTTCTCAGTTCTTAATTTAATTGAGTGATGTAAAGCTCTACTTTATCATTCAATTCTTTACAAGTTTGTTGTTGAAAACTTTGGCGAAGTTGACTTCGCTTTGCATGCTTTTAGGACACATTATTCTACATCAATTGGTATTTTATCACTTATTCTTCATCAACTTTTGTATCAAAGCACTTATATCTACGTTAGTTACTTTCAAAGCTGAACTATCCTTATCAAAGCTGAAAAATTTTTCAATCAGAAAGGGATCTTACCGTATTTTTTATCTTATGCTATTAAACTTTTTGTTACAAAATGTAGTTTTTCTGCATCTCTTTTCATAACCTGGCGTTCTAAATCCTAAAACCGTTTCGAAAGAACTTATCATCACGATTTATATTAACAAAATGATTATGCATATTATCATGATCACAGATCTCACAGATCTTACTATCAGGATCATTATCTTTGTCAATATCTATGTTCATTTCTAAAATGTGATCTTGTATATTGTCTGAATTCTAAACCTTATAGTTCTTGATCTTATTGTCATATTTCATATATTGATGACCAATGTCAATGCCATAAATAAAGTATTCAAATCGTTATAAACGTCGATGCTACTCTTAACATAATGATGACTGTTTCATACCATCTTTTTTATCTCAAAACAATTCTAGCATTAATATCAACGTCAATCTGATGAGCTTTATCGCCATCAATATTCCACTTTCTCTTAGGTTCTTCAGTCGATATGAGCCATAGGAATCCATTTATCTCAAACATATCTAGCATCATCATAATATGATAATGATATAGCACTGCATTCATGGTCATAGAGATTTTTCTGTTTCATGGATCCCCTCTTCTAATGCTTGTGTTTCTATTTGTGCTCTTCTCACGACATATTAATATGTCAACAAATTTTTCCATTGCTAGTTCCATCTTATTCGCCATTTGACATGCCTCCTTAAACTCTTAGGAGGAGAGTTCTCCTAAACTTGAAGAATTGATGATGGTCATCTCTTTTCTTTTTAATTTAGAGATATTTTTAATTTTTTGTGTGTTTTTTTTATATTTATCTTAATTTTCCCTTTACTTTGGACTTTTTTGCAATAAGTTTGGGCACCTTTTCTATATAAAGGGATGTTATGATCTTATGGTGAGAATATATTTGAATCTATAATTTATTGTAATTATTTATTCTATTTACTTCCTCCTCTCTTGGGTTTCCTTATTTTTCTCTTCTAATTTCTGAAATTATAATACCAATTCTCTTATAATATTGTTAGTGTTTTGAATTTATCTCTCTTAAATTCTATTTTATTTGAGTGCTTCAAATTTATACTTATTAGCCATTAATTTTCTTAAAAGATTGGCAAACTAGGTCAATATTTACTCTGTATTGCTTCACAAGCCAATTTTTTAGAACCTCGTACGTCACTATGTATTTGAGCTTTTTTTTCTTCTGTTTACCTCTAAAGGCGGCCTACCAAGTTGTCCCATCGAGTCGTTCTGCCTAGTTAACTAGGCGATGAGGGCCGAGTTGCCAGTACTGAGGGCTGAGTTTGTAGTCACTAGTTTTTTTATATATATTTACGCGTTGTACCCGACGTCATATGTTTATCATTAGTATATTGCTTATTATATAGTCTTAATTGTAGCCCTCGAGACCCCCATGACCTTCTATAAGTATGGGATCTCCGGGAGACCGTAAGGTACTTTTCAGAGCTCTTGGAATGTTTCTCTTGGGGATTTTTTTTTTCATGTGGGCTCTTTTTTTTTTTTTAAATCTCTCTCTTTTTCCCTCTTCATTTTCTTCTACACAAATTCGGTTTCAACATCTTTAAAGGTGCGGTAAATAATGTGTCTCAAATATGAAGTTACATGTAGAGATTTGTGGAGGGATAATAAAGAACTTACCAAAGAAAATCTCATCAGAGAAGATCCCATATAGGCACAACCTTATAAACTGCCGAGTAGATGCTATGATTTTGTGCTTAAATCAATGCCCAACTTAGATAACAACTTGTTCCGCATTAGTCACAAGGAGACTTTACTTTGCAGATGCTTATCAGCTCAAATGCATTTGAAGAAGGTGTTGAGAAAATGGAATACCTATGATGTTAAAAGTTCTACCCTTAAAGAGAAGTCTCCTTTCCTTTATATATTTGACTTTTATTTGATTATTTGATTTGTTTAGGTTGATTTTAAATATTCTACAAAGCATTTTCTTATTAATAAACATGAAGTGAGCAAATAGCAAATAAAAAAAATAATTCACCAAGCACTTGGAGAAATCGAATCCCCCAAATAAGTTGTTGCAAAAGAGTCTCCTAAATGCGACCACTAATCGACATTATTTAAAGATGGTTAACTTTTGTCAATGCTGAGCACAAATATCACAATTTGGAGAAAATTGACTTGATAAGAGCAATTGGTTATAAGTGCGAATTAGAAAAACTTGAGTTATGACAAAGAATCAAATCTTTGAGTGCCTAAAGGCGACGTGACTATCCACTATAGGAGAGTTGAGACCTTTAGGCAAAAGACTTGCAGGCGAGCCAAAGCCCCAGGAAGAACAAAAGTCTGCACTTAAAACAGTTACTTTGCTACCTATAATCTAACTTGCTCTAAGGTGTGGAGTATATTCAAATTGGTAGTACTCGTCGCGTTGGTGACTATCACATTCTTATTTACTCATAGGAACTAACTATATTAATAATTGACTAGAAGACTCCCTTTATTAATGGGATGAGTGGCGAGTGCAAATAAAAAAAAAATCTTTTATTCCATCTTTCAATAATAGTACAAAAGGAGATAGCATAAAGCTCTTTTTCAATATATTCAAAGTTTTTTGAAGTAATCCTTATACCCAAAGTCTGACGCCAACTCATAAAGCTGTTAACAAAGGAGAACCTACTATCAAGTTAGCCGCTATCAACTACTGAATGAAGATCTTAATTCCCTCCTCAAATATGTGGTCACAAAAGGATGCATATTGGCTCTTGTGCTTCCTCATAAGCAAGGGAGATTTCGACTTGCATTGGCGAAGTTGCAATCAACTCGCCGATTAATAGGAGCATTCTCTCTCGTAATTGGAGTCACACCCTTGTGGAATATGATGTTAGATCATATAGCAAATTCTCAATCCAATATACTTTGAGGTAATGTAATGTGTCGCATCATGTTGCTAGCCAATTTAGGTATCAACATGCATTGCAAGATTGTCGAATCCTTGATCCTAGTCACCGTTTTCTTAGGTCAATTTGATCTTTAATAATCATCTTTGACATTTTACTCCTAGCACTCTTGCATCCACATCTTCCGCAATTTGCTATTTTCCATATCACCCATCAATTTGAGAGGAAGCCATCATAGAATGTGAATGCTCATCCGCAACAAGAACATGAAACAATTCAATGAACTAAACACCTTGCAAATGCTACAATTTATAGGGCAAGATGCCTCAGTCTTAACTTTAACAATCTACTAAAAGAAGTGAGGCTACGCTCTTCCCAGAAATACTCATGGGATGGTAAATGAAGAATTTATTCATTTTCTTGTTGTTTAAAAATCTAGATGATTACTAATTGTCTTGTCTTTTTTTAAGTTATCTTCTCAAGGATGGATAGAATTGGAGAATTAAATGCATAGCCCTAAGGTGACATATTGAGTTGATGAGGGCCGAGTTACCGAGTAAGAGTTGCAAAGTACAAGTGCTGTGTAAGAATTTTTGAGGAGTTGCCGAGTACTAGTTGTTGAGTACGAGTTTTCGAGTATAATTTGTCGACTATCGATGGCCGAGTTCACAGTCTAAATTTTTTATATATATTTTAACAATGCAGCTGACATCATGTATTTAAAATTAGTACATTGGTTATTATGCATCCTTCATGAATCATCATAACACTCGAGACCTTAAACCCTGTTATGAATATGGGATCTTGGAGAGAGCTAAGCAACTTTTCAGATCTCTCAGAATCTCTCTAGAGGGCTTCCCATTTTCCTTGATGATCCTCTTTTTAACTCTCTCTCTCTCTTCCCCCCACTCTCCCTTTCCCTCTCTTTTCTATCACGCTAGTGAGATTTGGACATAACCCACATGGAAATTTGGATTCAATATTTTGTTAGACTAACACCTAAGGGCAATTTAAACTTTTATTAGTTATTATTGTTTGATATAAATATGACTTATTATGTTTAGGGTTAGGTATGCATGTGATTATTGTCTTGAAACTTAGGGTTAGGTTTTGGGTTTGGGAGAGATCGCCTACCTCTTGAATTATAGGTGGTTATCTTTTTTATATTTAGAGTTGTATCGCTTTGATTTGGCATCGTTGGACTCGAATTGTAATTGTTTCATGAGATTTGGTCAAAAAGGCGAAGTAGCAAAGTCGGTGAGGCTGCCTGGACTGTGAAGAATGATTGATGCTCTGATATGAATTTGATAGGAAATGAGACATATATCTGCCAAAATTAGGGCAAAAATAAGAGTTTATTCTGTCGATACCAGATGAAAGCAATACAACTCTGAATACATACAAGATAAGCAACTATAATTCGAGAGACATGCGATCTCTCCCAAACCTTGATTTTAACACTAAGATTCAAGGCTAACCATTTGAGAGGGATATTAGTGTTGGGAGGAAATTTCATGAAAGGGTTGAAGCCAAAGATTCGAGCAACGCTGTTTGCTGTGACCGCGATGATTTTGAGAAATTATGGAATTAGTACATTTAGTTGAAGATAAAAATGCAATGGAACGGGCTAATAGGTGCAACACATGTGTAGCATCATACCAAACTCCTACAACCATGATGATACTAAAAGCTTAAACCATCGAAGTCCAAAAGGAGGTTCAACATGATAGGAATAATGGGTCACGCCCAGAGGCGACACCCAAACGCCTTATAGGACATATTCAGGAAAAGCGAGTCAAGGCTTATGTTTTCAAATTGATGAGAAATTGCCCCAAGGCAGCATTGTAAGGATCGTATATTACTTATTCTTTTAAGTTGTGACGAGAGTGCAGGGGATGCAGAAACAGAGAAAACTGTGGTGGAGGACGAACACTCTCACTTGGATTTGGCAGAAGTCGCATTAAACTGACAATGTTAACGGAGACGGAGCCTTAGGAGAAGCAAGTCGATGCGTTATGTTATCAGTATGATGAGAAGTTTGCCCTAGGACACCGTTGTAAGGATAGGACATTAAAATTTTTCACAGGTGCAGCGAGGAGGCAGGGGATGTAGAAACAGAGTTGTGGTGGTGGAGGAGGATCACCTTCACTTGGATGTGACAAAAGTCATATTAAGCTCAGCAGTGAGGTTAACACCAAACTCCATTATAAAACTTATAGGAAAGATTAGAGAGTAGAATGTAATTGTGTTAGTAGATAGTGGAGCCACCCACAATTTCATCTCTACTCTTAAGTAGTGAAGCAACTGAGATATTTGATACATGAAGTTTTGAAATCATGATGAGAACTAGACAGGTCGAAAAGAGCAAGGTAGTTTTTAATGGGCTGATTTTGACACTGTAAAGTACTCAGGTTGTGGAAAATTTTCTTCCCTTGGATTTATGGAGTATTAATATGATATTGTGTATGAAATGACTATAATCCTTAGGGGAGATTGTGATGAATTGGAAATTTTTGACCATGGAGTTTCAGAAGGGAGATAAGATGGTGGTGCTTCATCGTGTTCCTAGTTTGTGCAAGACCTTGGTGTTAGCGAATCCTTTGAAGGTGACAACGTTGGAGTGGCCACTACCAAAGATCTTGAAGGGGTTGAGAAGATTTATGAGATTTACATGATACTACCAGAAATTTGTGAAAGGTCGTAATTCGAATTGTAATTTTCAATCAGGGAAAGTGGCGGCCTAAATTTTTGAGAAGTTAAAAAATTCCATGATGACTGGTACACTCGTCATGACTTTCTTTAACTTTTTAAAATTCTTGGTCACCGCTTTCCTCCATTGAAAGTTATCATTCTTCAGTTTCTTCATCAATAGCCATATAATCGAATTACAACCCTTCACGAACTTCTCAGCCTCTTCTAGGTGTAGTTGCCACTTCAAAACTGCCAACTTCCATGGATCCACTAACACCAAGGACTTGCACAAACTAGGGTCACCGTGAAGCACTACCGTCTTATCTCCCTCCTGAAATCCATGGTCAAGTGTTTCTAATTCATCTTAGTTTCCTTTAAATATTGCAACCATTTCATATTCAATATCACTTCAGTGCTCCTTAAATCCAGGGGAAGAAAGTTCTCCATCATCTGAATACTTTGCAATGTCAAAATCAACCCTTTACAAACTCCTCTATTCATCTCCAATTGTTCCGTTCCCATTATGACTCCAAAATATTAGAGCTTATTATGCATAGAGTTAGGTATGCATGTGATTTTTTCTTGAATCCTGGGGTTAGGTTTAGGATTTGGGAGAGATCGCTTGCCTCTCAAATTGTAGTTGCTTATATTTTATGTATTCGGAGTTTTATGGCTTTGATTTTGGATCGGCGGAAGAAAAACTTTTATTTTGCCCTAATTTCTATGGAAATCTGTCTTCTTTCTCGTTTGCTATCATAATTCCATTAACTTTTTATGCCAGTGCACCTCTATCTACATAAAAAGGTTACGTTCTTATTAAGTTGATGCACCATTTCCTGCAGTTGCTCTTTAGTTCTTTGAGACGCTTTAGTGTTTAAACAATACTATTGCTATACCTTGATATGTTCACATAATGGAATTAGCTCCTGTTCTAGTATCTAGATAAACCTTGCAAAATGGACATTTATTCTAATTAATTGAATAGCTTTTTGCTTATTTCTGCCTTGTTTGACATCTAGTTATGGCCGACTGGTTATTTTCTCCTCAGCTAAAATAGTGATTGATCTCTGCCATAGATTTTTTGTTAATAAGAAAGAATGAAAAACAAGAGCATAAAGAAGATAAATAAAACCTAATATCCTTGAACGTTGGTCAACTTCTTTTGTTTGGTTTAGATTAAGTCTCTGCTTTTAGCTCCGTTTCTCATCTGAGAATATGTTTTTTCAACTTTCTTCTCCAGGTTTGTAAGAACAGTTCCTATCATCTACGAGGAAATTTATACGTGCACTATAAATTACTTGAATCTGCAATTCTTGCCTTCAATACCATGAATGCTCGTTACTATGCTGGAAAACAGGTATTTCTTGTAATTTCTAGTTTTGAGAATTCTAAACCCTTTGCACATTTACTGGTCATTTCATGTGCATCCCATTGTAACGCTCTTTCTGTATGCTTCATTTTGCTCCCGTTTTTTTATGTGCTCTTTTTAGTTTCACTTCTACTGTTGATTATTTCCTTCTTCATTTTCAATCAGATAATTTGTGACTTTGTTGGTGTAACAAGATGGAAGGTTGCCATTTGTGGTGAATACATGAAATCCAGGCTAAAGGTATGGATGGTCATCTTCTGCCTTGTATTATACATTCAACACCCTTTGCTATGTTAAATTGTTGATTTCATTCTTTGAATGGTTGAAAATTTGCCAACAAAATCTAGTGCATGCACTTAAGCTGATTTTATTTACTAATTTGATGGTGCAAATAACTTCTAGAATTTCATGCAACTGCAATGTGTGTGTTTGGACGGTAATGTCTATATTGCAATAGATATTACCATGTGAACCTTGGGGCACACTTTTAAATGCATGTGTGCATATATAAGAAATAAGAAGATTTACATACATACCACTCAAATCCTATGTATTTGCATATCTGGCCCCTAAAATTTATTTTTTTGCATACATACCACATTATCTATAAATGAAAACGTGTATTTCATTTTCTAAAAGTTAAAATGGCGGTATTTTTTATGTGATATGAAAGATTTGGGTGGTATAAATGTATAAAAATGAAGTTTAGGTGCTAGATGTGTAAATAGATAGGAATTGGGTGGTATGTTTGTTAATGCGCCTACGAAATGTGGCGTCAAATTTCTTATGATAAAAGTTTGAACTTCTTACCTTCTTCTTACCTTCTGTATTGATTGTGGTTTTTTTTTTTGTTAAGAAAACCTAAATGTTATTAGTCACAACTTTATCAATAATACTGATTAGTGATTACAGACTTGCTCGCATGGAAGCGCCTGCAATTTCGTTCATTGCTTCCGCAACCCTGGTGGAGATTATGAGTGGGCTGACTGGGATAACCCTCCGCCTAGATACTGGATCAAGAGGATGATTTTCTTATTTGGTACTTCGGCAGAATCAGGCTATGACAAAGAATTGGAATCACAGGATCATAGAAGGCACACAGAACCAAAAAGGGTCTGGAAATCCAACAACGACAGGTTTGCTTGAAATTAACTTTTATCATTTATGGATAAAAGAATCAAGACAAATGTTAGGAGCTCATTCGGTAAAGATTTATAATTATTAGTAATAGATTTTGCAAAGCAAATGCTTGACCGAACTCTATTGTTTGGAATTAAACCAAAATTATTAATATTAGAAATACCTAGAAGAATGTAATTACTAAAGTGTCTTTCAATATTCCACATTCACTAAAAACTAAAAAACTTGATTGTGGACTTTTTTAGATTATGCTAGCATATGAAAGAGTACTAGAATGATCTTTTTATTGGTATAAATAGGTCTTTAGCTTTATCATTTGGAGTATGAATGAAAAATGATAAATTCTTTTTCTTTATTGTCCACACAAATTTCTCATTCACCTCTTTATATTCTCCACATGTATTTATTTTATCAAATTGGTATCAAAGCTAGGTTTGTTAAAAAATGACAAGTGGTTTGAATTTACAAGTGCGTCATCTCACAAAGGAGAATTATGAGAATTGGAGTCTTTAAATGAAGGCATTGTTTGGTTCTCAGGATATTTTGGAGATAGTTGAAAAAGGATATGTCGAGCCACAAGACGTAGCAACATTATCAACAACCCAAATGGATTTGTTGAAAGAAAATAGAAGAAGGATAAGAAAGTGCTCTTCTTCATTTATCAAGTCTTAGATGGGGCGTGTTTTGAGAAAGTCGCCGATGCATCCATCTCTAAGAAAATATGAGAAATACTCAAGTCAATTATAAAGGCATAGGCAATGTCAAGAAGTTTTGGCTTCAAACTCTTCGAGCCGAGTTTGAGGCACTCCACATGAATGATACTGAAATTTTGGAGGATTATTTCACAAGATTTTTGACCTTTGTCAATCAACTATGAAGGTACGGAGAAAGTTTAGAGGATGTTTGAGTGATTGAAAAGACTTTACGTTTGGTGAATGATAAATTAGCACATTGTAATAGCTATTGAGGAAGCTAAAGGCTTAGAGTCAATGATCGTTAATGAATTTATGTAATCTTTGATAGCTTATGAAGAAAGAAAGAATAAGAAAAAAATAGGATACTAACGAGCAAGTCCTCCAATCAAAGCATACAATAAGGAATGAAAATGAAGACTAAAAAATTTTATACATTAAAGAATGAAAATGAAGTCTCTAAAATTGTAGATAATTTAATTTCTTGTAATGTCAATGGGCAAAGTCGCGGTCGTGGTCGTGATTGTGTTTTTGGAAGAGGTCGAGGATATAGACGTCGAGAATATCAGAAAATAATGAAGATGGTCAAATCTTAAAAAATGATGACTGAAAGAAAGAGCCAAGATGCCAAAAGTGCAAAAAAACATTTATGTTTGTTGTTATATTGTCAAGAAAATTGGTCACTATGCCTTTGAATGTCATCATAATCAAGAAAAAAACTAACCTTGCCTTGAAAAAGGAAGATGATCCTATTTTATCAAAGGAGAAAAATATGAAAAAAAAAATTGTACATAGATATCGAAGCAAGTAATCATGTGTAAAATAAAGATATATTCATAGAAATGAAGACAATGAAGAGTCAAATTTACTATGGTAAATCTTCAAAAATTTCAATGAAAGGAAAATGTAAAATCCTTATTCTTCTTAAAGGTGGAAGTCATTAATTTTTTTCTAATGTTATTTATGTTTCGAATATGAAGAATAGTATTTTAAGTTTGGGGGGAATTAATTGAAAAAGAATTTGATATTCATATTAAGAATAAAAAGCTCACTATTAAAAATAATCTGAACCAATTGATAGCCGAAGTGGAGGTGACGAGTAATAGAATGTTTATTATCAATGTAAAGGATAGTATAATGAATTGCTTAAAGATTTGCATAATGATTTTTCATGGATTTGACGTATGAGGCTCGAACATTTAAATTTCGAAGATTTAAATAATATCTCAAGAAAAAGAATGGTATATGGGTTGCCGAATATCAATCATCCAAATTAAATTTGTGAAGGATGCCTATTTGAAAAGCAACCTAGCAAATTTTTTTCAAATAAAGCGTGTTTTAAAGCAAAGAAGTCTCTTCAATTAATCCACATAGATGTATGTGGACCTGTTGCTCCAGCATCCTTTGGTAAGCATCGCTATTTTCTTAACTTTATTGATGATTATTCATGAAAAACTTGGGTCTAATTTTTGAAAAAAAAACATAAGCTTTTATCATGTTTAAGAAATTCAAGGCAAGTGTGGAGAATGAAAGTAGTAATTTAGTAAAAATCATCCTATCAGATCGAGACGGTGAATTTACGAATAAAATATTTTTGAAGATTATTGTGAAGAGCATGTCATTCGACATTGACTAACAACACTTTTTTTACATCAACAAAATGGCGTCGCGGAAAAGAAAAATCACTACTCTTAATATGGTCCGGGGCATGATTAAAAGCAAGATATGCTAAAGAAATTTTTGGTTGAGGTAGTGACACGTGTTGTTTATATTCTCAATCGGTGCCCAGCTCTAAGCTTACATGATTTGACGCTTCAAAAAGCTTGGACTGGGAGAAAGTCAAATATCTCTCATTTGAAGGTGTTTGAGAGCATTGCATGTGCACATGTTCCTAAAAAAAAAAAACACTAAGTTGGTTGACAAAAGCTCTAAACTCACCTTCATCGGGTATTACTCTATTTGATCCTAATATTTTTAGAAGTATTTTCTGTGAAGATGTGGATTTCGATGGAGCATGAGATTGACAAAGCCAAGTCACTCAAAATGAAGCATAGGTGTCTGTAGAGTTACAAAAAGAACTATCATCAACAAATTTGCAAGAATCTTCATCACATTCTCCAACCTCAAGTGTTGATCAAAGGCAAGAGAAGGCAAGAAGTTTAAGAGAGTTTTATGAAAAAACTGATGAACTTAACTTCGTTTTCTTATTTGCAAATAATGAGATATTGAATTTTGAACAAGCCATATAAAAGATAAAAGATGGAGATGCGTAATGGATGAAGAAATTAAATCTCTAGTGAAAAACGATTCATGGGAGCTCACAACTCTTCCATACGGACATAAAGCTATTGGTATAAAATGGATATACAAAATAAAGAAGAATGCAATGGGAGGACTTGAAAATTACAGAACGCATATAATGACAAAAGGATACAAGCAAAAAGAGGCATCGATTATAATGAGGTATTTACTATTGTTATTCGCATGTTATTCGCATGGAAATTATCTGTTTAATTATTTCTCTTGTTGCACAAGATAATTGTTCGATTTTTCAAGTAGATGCGAAATTTGTCTTTTAAATGAATTTATTGAAGAAGTGTCAAACAACCTTTGTGATATATTAAAAAAGGGCAATGAATCAAAAGTTTATAAATTAAGGAAGGCTTTTTATAGCCTAATACAAGCACTAAGGACACGGAATGTAAGAATCGATTTATACTTCAAGCAATATGGTTATATTCATGTCCTTATGAGAACCCCTTTTATTTGAAGAAGCATGATAATGAAGATATATTATTTATTTATTTATATGTAGATCTTTTTTTTAAAGGGAATAATCCACTCTTATTAAAAGAATTTAAGTAATTTATTGTTAAAGAATTTGTGATAACAGAACTTTGACTTATGTCATTCTTCCTTGGAATTGAAGTGAAGAGAAATAAAGAAGGTATATTCATTAAACAAAAAGCATATGCAGAGGAAATTTTGAAGAAATTCAATATGAAGAATTGCAATCCAACAAGCACGCTAGCGAAATGCGGTATCAATTTATCATAGAAAGAAGATGGGACTTAATAGATCCAACTATGTTTAAAAATTTCATGGAAGTCTGAGATATCTAACATGCAAAAAACCTGACATTCTATATGGAGTTGGAATTGTCAGTCGTTATATGGAAAACCCATTGAGGTGGATTTAAAGGCAACTAAAAGAATTTTTCGTTATATTAAAGATACACTAACTAATGGTCTTTTACATTCTTGTTCTAATGAATATCAACTTACAGGATATTTAGATAGTGACTGGGTTGGAGACCAAGATGATAGAAACAGTACGAGTGATTTTTAATTTTATATGGGTGACACTGAATTCACAGTGTTCAAAAAAATCAATTATTACTCTCTCAACGTGTGAAGCTGAATATGTTGTAGCAGCATCATGTGTGTGGCATGTAATATGACTACAACTACTAAAAGAAATTAGATATTCTCAATATGAAGCAACAAAATTTTATGTTGATAACAAATCAACAATATCATTTTAAAAAAATCTTGTTCATGATGAAAGAAGCAAGCATATCGATATTTGTTTTCATTATATAAGAGACTAAATCAAGGATCAAGAAGTTCAAGTGGAGTATGTGAAAACTGAAGATCAAATTGTAGATATTTTCACCAAGCTCCTTAGCTATAGCATGATTCATAAAATGGAGACACTTCTTAGGATAGTCAATGAAAATTTTGGTTTAAGGGGGAGTCTTTTGAATTAAATAAAAAATTATTAATATTACGACTTCACCCCAGTCGAAGACCTCACCGTGGTATGCGCCAAGAAGACCACCAAAAGCCTTTGTGGCACTAGTGGTACACAGTAGTCATGGGCGATCATTGGTCCGATGCTTCGGGCGAAATCCATTTCCAGGTTTTGACAGGCGGTGTGTACAGGGCCCGGGTGCATATTCACCGGGCATGCTGAGCATGCTGATCCGCGATTACTAGCGATTCCAACTTCATGTTCCCGAGTTGCAGAGAACAATCCGAACTGAGGCAATCTTTCCGGATTCGCTCCGCCTTACAGCCTTGCTTCCCATTGTCATTGCCATTGTAGCACGTGTGTGGCCTAGCCCATAAGGGCCATGCGGACTTGACGTCATCCCCACCTTCCTCCAGTCTCTCACTGGCAGTCCCTCGTGAGTGCGGCACGCACCTTTTTCTTTGTTTCGGAGCGGGGCGCGTACTCTTCCCACTACGTACCACATAGTTCGCCAACATATCTCACTAGCATACGATACAATTTCACTTCAC